AATTTGCTTTGAAACATAGAGGAGTGAGTGAATGCAAGGTCTTGTCACTCAAAAGGTCATATTCTAGGCTCTGTGTAGAACTTTTACTGGTACCTGGTAACTGTTTGCCTGTAATGTTGGAACAATTCTAGGAAGGTAGAGTGGGAGCTCCTATCCCTCAAAGAGCGCTCCCCCCCCTCTCTCTCTCTCTCTCTCTCTCTCTCTCTCTCTCTCTCTCTCTCTCTCTCTCTCCATGTGACTGGTTTTCCTCACCATTCAGTTCCCAGCTTGCCTGATATCTTTTCCAAGCAGTCTCCTCCACAGATGACCTTGTAGACTTTTCCTCCTTCCTTGAAATGGTCTTTATTATTTGCCAGAAATCAGTGTATTGGAAAGCCAATCAAAAAACTGTTCTCTCCCAGCCGGAAGCCAGTTGCTTCTTTGAGTATACTTATTTATTTGTGTGTATATGTGTGTACACATGCATGCACATGTATGTGTGTAGGCATACATTTGTCACAATTTTGAGGTAGTTGATTCTTTTCTACTCTGTGGGGGTCCAAGATCAAACATAGGATGTCAAACTTGACATCACCCTTGGCAATCACCCTTACCTACCTTGCTAGCTGCATCTTAACATGTCTGTTGTTATAGGCTTATTTTTTATTTATTTTTTAAAGATAGGATCTCACTAGGTAGCTCTTACCATCTGTCTGCCTCTGCCTCCTGAGCACCTGGATTAAAGGTGTGCTATCACACGTGACTACAGGTTCCTTTTATATTAGGTATATATAGCTGGGGTTCCCTGTTACTTTTACAGAGGTTGTTTTGGGTAGACACCCAATGGGAGAGAAGAAAGACCTGGTATCTTCTTTAAACAAACTTACAGCACACGTTAAAAAGCGCAAGCAAATGTAGTTTGAAAGCAAGGCGAGTAATCATAAATAAGTCAGAATGTACAATTGAAAATAAGCCCAGAGACATAGTTTGAACTCAGAGGAGGCGAGGGACTCATCAGAGAGGAGAGTTGCTGTGAGCTGCAGAAGACGGGAGCTACTGGGCTGGTTCACACATAAAACTAGCATGGGTCACCAGTGCTTCTGATGAGCAAGGCTGGGTGACAGACCCATGTATGTGCCTGCCAGTTTCTCAGGCACAGATGGCACTGTTAGAAACTCTTGTGGAAGAAAGAGTTTGAAAGGGACAGCTCTAAATTGGTAGCACCTTTCCCCACCTTGGTGAGCAGGTGGCCTTTTGGCAGCCTCCAGAGAATGTGCGCATGTGTGCGTGCGTGCGTGTATGTGTGTGCGTGTATGTGTGTGCGTGTATGTGTGTGTGTGTGTGTGTGTGTGTGTGATGGAAGTCCTATCTATTCATCCCAGTGTCCCCAGCAGTCCTTGCAGTGTCTGGTGGCAGGGGAGCTTCCTTTGATGTCCACCAACCCCTTCATTGCTCTGTTCTAACTAGAACGTGTTCCCTCTGAAAGAGCCTCCTTGCCCCCACCCCCATGCTCTCTGGGGCCCTTCAGAATGTTGCAGTGATCACAGATGATATGGCTGGCACTGGGGGCTTCTGTGAGGATGATGAACCCTCTTCTCTCTTTTTTCTCAGGCTGTAGCACACACTGCAAGCACGAGCTTGGCAGGAATGTCCATGCCTGTGTACTTGTACATGTGGAACGCATGTGAGAGCCTGTGTGCTGAGGCCTGTCACTCATCTCTGGCTATGCAATCTCAGGAACCACAAAGACCCTAGCAACTCTCCAGATGGTGACACCACCACGCAAGCTCTGTCTGTTCAATGTTGCCAGTTCAGGAGCTGAGTAGTCAAGGCTCACAACACTTTTCTTACCATCTAAGCAAACTCTTGCTTCTTAGGAATGAAATAGACTTGGACAGTAAGGGATGTTTGTGTATCAATATGTGGTATGTATTGATATGAGCTATGGAATAATAATTTTAATAACTCACATCTGTTTCTTGAGAAAATTGCATTAATTAAGTTAACTTAAGTTTGGGGCAAATTTTAAATGATTTTTTAAAATTCTTACTTTTTTCAGATTTATTTTTATTTTCATTTGTGTGTGTGTGTGTCTGTGAACATCAGTACAGGGCCTTTGTAGGCAAGAGTCAGATCCCTGTGAACTGGAGTTATAGGCAGTTGGGAGCCTCCTGATATGGGAAAGGAAGTTGGGTTCTTTGCAAGAGAAGTATGTGTTTTTAACTTCTGATACATCTCTCTAGCTCCATTGGTTGTGTTTTGGAGTCACAAAAATCTCTACATGTATTTGAAGATGAAAAGACAATAGTATTTATCATATCACAAAAATATTTAGGTATAAATCAAATTCTAGCTGTTCATTATTAGGATATAGGAACACGGCTTCTTGTGGATTAACCCCACCATCATGCTATACTGAGGCTTAGTTCTAGTAGATTTTCTTTCTGTAGAGTTTTGGCTTTCTGTGTAGACAATCATGTGATCTCACAATAAACACAGATTTGTTTCTTGCTTTTCAATTTATATATTTTATTTTTCTTGCCTTATTGCACTAGCTGATAATTTCCACATACATTTGGAAAATAGTCTCGCATCCATGGTAGAAGGTCACAGTTATGACACACCTATATTCAGACCTCCTGCCAATAAACACAGGGCTTATGGGTGGGAAAACAAGTGCCCCTGTCCTGCTGTAGCTTCAAGGGGCTCCATAAAAAGTATGAGGCAGAAATAACTTTGCATCTAGAGGTGATCCCACACTGGTGCTTCCTGTGACCTCTGCCCTCTCGTGTTTCAGAATGTTCTCTCTCTTGCCTGCAAACCATAGAGCATAACCTGGGTATGGGTCTGGGAGTCTGTGCTGGGTAGGGCAGGAGGGCTGGCCTCTCCCTAAACTGTTCATGTACACGGTAGGAAGTGGTGCTAGCATCCTGCAGGTTGGTGGGTAGGGTGAGCTGGGCTGTTGCAGGTCTCCACAGACTGCATCGTAAGATGCCCCCTGCCCAAAGCTGGGGAGACCTCCACCTCTCACAGTCCTTGGTACCTACTGTGTGCCAGATGGACTTCTCAAGATCCAGAGTTCATTTTTCCCCTTGGGGGAGCCTATGAGGTTTCTCATCATACAGATGGGAAGTGGAGGCAGGAGCATTGTTCATACTAGCACCTAGGTCTCTGTGGGGACAGGATGTGAGTGTCAGAAGGCCAAAGCCTCTGCCTGAGGGAAGATGTACCCATGTGCATGGTGATTTCTGATTTTATTGAACATGTACTGACTGCAGGATGCAGCCTTATTTGAATACTGACGAGGAGAAGGAATAAATGATGCTACTTAGTTCATGGTGTGCCATCACCTAAGTCACTACCCAGTTCCAAAGATGCAAGTGTGGGGAAGGTACCTCTCAGAACTGATACATTAGACTGAAATCTTGGTAGTCGCATACAATTACATATGCAGCGTCAAAGCTGAGTTTCCTCTTTCCTCTGCCTCTTATCAAATTCCATTCCATGGAGATAATGTTTATAAATGGCATCTTGGTGTGTGTCCTCCCAAACATTCTAACAGCTTGGGAAGTATATTTATGTATTAATTACTGTTCCAAACACTTTATCTTTGCAAGACATGATGCTAAGCTTTCCAACGCATTTTGTTTAATCTTTGCAATAAGCTCTGAAGGCTGGCATGGGCTAGCGCCACAGCATAGAAGGGGAAGCCAAAGCACAGAGAGGAGAGGCAACTTACCTGACATCACACAGCTTCTAAGAAACAAGGCCTGAACTTGAACCAGGCCTAAGGTCTTAACCAAATGCCACACATAACCCTCAGTATGCAGGTCTATGTTATTTTTTTTAAAAAAAAAAAACAAGGTCAAAGCTGTTCTGGAACCTTCTTGTGTGTATTTCTGCTAACCACACTCCATGGGCATCTTTTCCATGTCCATGCCTGAAGCACTACTTCATCTCTTCAGCCATTGCTGGGAATCATCTCATATGACTGTGTATGGATGTGTGTAGCATGGATGTGTGTAGCATGGATGTGTGTAGCATGGATGTGTGTAGCATGGATGTGTGTAGCATGGATGTGTGTGGCCCATCTCCTGCAGATGGACACTGGGGCTTCTCTTGCCGTACAGGTATCACTGAAATACTGTGACAATCAACTCACACCTGTGTCTTTTAGCACTTCCTCAGGAAAATTACAAGGTTGTTGTTGTTTTTTTCTTCTACCTCTTCCATTGTTTTCATTGTATAATGAGATTGCAATCTACCTGCAATCTCTTGCATCTTGCACACCTCAGAGTATGTATGCAGAGGTCTTCACGTGCATGGCGACCCCATGTGAACCCCACAGTGCTAAGTAAGGAGGACCAGAGAATGGATGTGGGTACCAGCTGTCGACAGAGACAGGGCACATCTCCGATCATGTCCCTCCTCACTTGGATGTGTGTAGTGCTGAGCCTTGCCGTGGTCCCCGTGTGCTGTGTATGGCTGACATCTCTGGTGATTGTCAGGTTGTCTGATCTTTCCACATGACTTATGTTGGTCAATGAAATGCGAGCAAAGCATGCCATTTCTGGGTAGGAGAATTTAAAACTGGGCATGAGTTTCCGTTTCTTTGCTTCGCTGGACCTTGACATCTCATTGGAGATGATGACATCATAAGGTGGTGGCCCCTCCGAGCGAGTGTGATGAGAAGAACCTTCTCTGACCCATGAAGTGGAAGTGAATCACTGTTGCTATAAGCAGCTGAGATGATTTCTTACCCCGGCTCAGCTGTGGAGCAATACGTTGTCCCATCGGCTGAGTCTCTTAGCTACTGCCCAACTCTCTTCCCCAGAAGCTTCCTCAGAGAGAGTTTTTGACTTAAATGAAAACACCATGGTGAGAGGTGTGCTTGGAGGCTACAGAGGGGGAGAACTCAGATATGGAGAATGTAGCTGACCTTTGTCTGAGGGGCCTGGTCTTGGCCCCATCGTATTGGGACACGCTCTCAGGCTTGACTGACACACATGTTCTCTTTGTAGGTGGCCCTTCCCCGGGTGGCGGTGCCCCCTGGCACCTTCGGAATGCCCTCAGTGATTCAGTGGAGAGTTCAGATGATGAATTCTTTGATGCTAGAGGTAAGTGAACTTCATCTCCACCCTACCAGTTGGGTGATCTTTCTAGAAGTTCTGCAAAGTGAATCCCTGCTGAGGACTAGAGCTGTCTCTGCCCACACTTGCAGTTTCATACTCCATAGGTGAGAATGGGGGCTCAGTACCCTCCTGCTCACTCTTTGAAATATTTTCAAAGCTCCTAATACGTGCCAGGTGCTTGGATGGCACAGAATACTGTGGGTTTGTTTGATACTCTCATAAGCAGATAGTCTAGCTTGAGAGCAAACATCACAAGAGGATACAGAGGGAAACCCAGCCACTGGTGGGAGTGATGTGGTCTAGTCCAAAGAACCAGCTGACATGGGAGAGAATGTAGCCAGGGCACTGACTTTGATGTAGGTGGGACACCCTTTCTGCAGAGCCAAGAAGTAGGAGCTTGTCAGGTGAGGAGAAGGAAGAGTCTTCCAGACAGATACGGCAGCAGGTATGGTAGCTCTGACCTAGGAAAGATTAACGAATGTTTTCGGCTCTGAAGGGAGATCTATGTGGTGGTGGTGGGGTGGTACACCAGGGGAAAAGGAATGATAGATGAGACTGGTTCTGATGCCAACAGTACCTATGTGGCTTCTAAGACAGGTCTCACAGATAGGGAGCGATAGCCACCAGTGATACTCAGAGGAGCTGTGACAGGTAGTGGGGATCCAAATGGTACCCAGAGGGACCCCAAGAGTGGTATTTCAGGTAGAGAGAACACAGAAGCCAAAGTGTGATTATAGTATGCAGATGCAGAGGCAGGAGGCTAGTCAATCTGGAATTAGAAAAGAAGACAGGGTGGCCATACTGAGCCAGGCTGGGTGGAAAAGGGGTCCTAGTACCTTTTAGCCTTGTGGGTCTCACTCTGGGACATCACCAAGATTAGGGGGTTGACTTATTTGAGATGGGGCTAGTTTGCAATACTTAGTAAATATGATCTTAAGGACAGACAAGTGGTTATAAGCAGCATGTGGACCTAGGACAGGACAGCAGGGACTAGTCTGAACATGACCTCCACTTTGGCTTCAGACATGGTGTTCTCTTTCTGGGGTCTGAGATTCTTATTAGCTCTGTATGTCCCCAGTCTGAGAATATTTCCCAAATATTGGGGTTCAGGGAATTTCTAGGGAAGCCTGGCTGGATGCTGCTGGACTGTCCCCACTTAAGCCTCCCCCATTCTTAGCTCTGGGCAGAGAAGCCTTTCCCCAGTAAAGTCCCTAAACCAGCCCATTGGGGGCTCACTTCCCATCTTCACTTGATGTCTGATTGGAGTGGCTGCCAGGGCTGCTATTCTCCATAGCAACTAGCCCACAGTGTGACAACACAGCTTCAATATTTTGATACGCTGAAGAGTTTCATTTCAATATTTCTGCAGTTCATCAGGGCTGTTTGTCCTTAGCTGCTATGATGGCATGCTGCAGGAGGCAAGCATCTGTGGGTGGCTCAGGGTCAAATCTGTCTTGGGCCTGTCTTTCCTGTGAGCAGCTGAGGGACCTTCCTGCTCCCATCCCTAGGACCATTGTCTCTCTCAGTCTCCCTCAGCAGTGTCTGTCCTCCCTTCCCCAGTCTCAGAGAACTTGGTCTTACCATGTGCTCCCGGCTCCACAGAACATACACCTGTTTGTTCCTCCTCCCTTTGCCTTATCATCTCCTTTCCTCCATTCTTTCAGAATCCTAGACTTCACCTTAGGGTGTGGCCTCAAACCCAGATCATATAATAGCTGGGATGTCCCTCAAGATTGTGTGTGTGTGTGTGTGTGTGTGTGTGTGTGTGTGTGTGTGTGTGTGTTTCCTCAGGTGCTATCTACTTTGATTTTGGAAACAGAGACAGAGATTTTCACTGCCCTGGTACAGACCAGTCAGACTAGGCAGGCTAGTCAAAGAGCCCAGAGACCCACTTACTTCCACCTCCCCAGGTCTGGGATTATAAACTACCCAGCATTTTGTGTATGTGTTGGGGATCAAACTAAGTCTTCATGCTCACACAGCAAGCACTTTACTGGCTAAGCCTCTTGTCAGCCCCCAACCCATTTTACAAGGTGAGAAACTCAGGCAGGGGTTTTACTTAGGGTTGTAGACTGTAGCAGAGCAGGGGGTATAATCCTACTTCATTTGTCCCTTCTTTCACAAGTACTTATTATCTGTTCAACCAGTGTTAGGCCCCATTCTTAGTGTGGAGACTGAAGGTCCCATTCTAGTCCTCAAGGGGCTGTGGCTTGGATAGCAGGTGAAAGGGGAGAAGACAGCGCACAAGCAAATGACATATATTGAGAATTGCTATATAGACAACACAAAGCAATAGACATTTGACTGCAGAAGATGTTTGAATGGCAAACAAACACATGAAAAGTTGCTCAATACTATCAGTCATCAAAGAAAGACAAGTCAAAACTGCAAAGAGGGGTTGGGAGGGTGGCTCAGCTGGTAAAGTGCTTTCCTTGCAAGCCCAGGGACCTGAGTTCAATCCCTAGCACTCACGTGAAGACACTAGGCATTGTTGTAATCCCAGAACTGGGGAGGGACACAAAAGAGTCCTCAGTGCTCACTGGCTAGTGGTCTACTCTAATTGAAAAGCTTGGGGCCAAAGGAAATGGATGATGGTGTTCCTGAGGGCGATGCTGAGGCTATCCTGTGCTCTCCACATGCACATGTATACACACACACACACACACACACACACACACACACACACACACACTAAAAAGAAAACAAGACACACCTGTAAAGATGGGCTGGCGCAATGGCTCAGCAGGTGAGGGTGCTTGCTGTCAAGCTTGATGACCTGAGTTTGATCCTGGGAACCAGGTGGTGGAAGTAGAGAACCAACTCCTGAGAGCTGTCCTCTGACCTCCACATGTGTTTTGTGGTATAAGAGTACCCTGCCTCCATATGCATATAAACTAAACAAATATAAATATTTGAAGTTGTTTGAACTGCAATGATACCACTGTGTACCTATTAGAATGGTTCAATAGAATAGCTGGCTGCAATGTGGAAGAACAGGGTCCTTTCAAACTATCCTTGGGGGAAATGGACAGTTTCATAAAATTGGTGGCAGTTTGAAAAGAAGGGAGGGGAATATAGCTCAATGTCGTGTCTCCCAGCATGCACAGTGGCCTAGGCTCCCCCTGCCCTCAATCCTGAACCCTTTATGCTAGATGCTTATTCAAATTAAGGGAAATGTTATGCCAGTTTGATTTATTCTAGCCTCAATCTGAAAACATCCCAAATGAAAATCAGCGAGCGAATGGGTAGGCAGAGTCTGTTCTAGAAGAAAGGAGTGAACTGAAGCATGCAGGAGTGCGGACAACATCAGAATAAGTCACTCTGACAGAAAACAAGTCCGACCAAAGCAGAGCACACTGGGTGACTGCCCTGACAAAAAACTCTAGAAAATGCCAAGCAGCCCACAGGGACAGGAGCAGATCAATAGTCTCAGAGTGGGAAGGAGAGCAAAAACAATGGGAGAAAACTGGGTGTGATCACTGCCTCACAGCATCTACAACTGTCAAAACGCTACATTGAGTTCTTCATTCATTCATTCATTCATTCATTCATTCATTTCGTTCATTCACTCATTCATTTCCCTCACATTTTTATTAGAAGATTTAACACAATACAAACTAATGAAAGTTGAAAGGCATTAAGATCAAAATAAAAATGGCTAGGAATTGCCATTCTTGTGGCCCATCATGTCCAGGCATCTTCCTTCACTGAGAAGGGAAGTGCCTGTTCCCTTTGGTTCTTCTCTCTGGTTCTGAGTACCTACTCTCTTTCTATGAATATGCATCAACAAGCTGAGCTTGGCCTTAACTGGGCTAGTGGCTGGGGAGATGAGGAGTCTGGAACCTGATTATATTTAGGTATACTGGCACTGGAAAGTCTGACCAAGAACAAAGCAAAGGGACACCCTCCCCCTCATAGGACACCAACTTTCTGTTCTTTATCCATCTCTGTTCTCTTTTTCTTTGGTACTCTCTGCCTTCCATAGCAACTAGGAGAAGACGGTGCTCAGATTAATAACCTGACTTTTATAGAAGACTAGGGCAAAGTCAGGTCCCATAGCTGGTTAGGGGCTTAGATCAGATGGTCTCTCCTTGGTTGGACTTCTACTGTGAGCATATGGACTCCCAGAGAGTCCAAGTTAGGGAGGGCCCAGGTCTTCATCACGGTAGTGCCATTGACTGGCTGCCATTTGAGCTCAGACACATCTCAAAGCCCTGGCTAGGGTTCTCCTCTAGAAGATAACAGGGATGTAGCCATTAGCCCATGGGTGAAGAAGGAGAGGAGGTGATCGCTGGACAAAGGAACTATTATAGATGCAAGCCACAGAGGTCTCTAAGGTCCTTCCCTCATCTCATATTAGGGGAGGTGAGAGAGGGAGTGCCTTTAAGTTTCTGGGGGTGGGTGGAGTGGGTACCATTCTCAGTGTGAGAGAGGATTAATAGAGTTCAGAGAAGCCCAAGGAATGGGGTCTATATTAGGGCAAGGTGAAGGTGAAGACCAAGCAACAAGCATTCAGGTTCTTGAAAAGACAGGTTCTGTGGGCCTGATGTGGGTGATATTAGACAACCAACTAGAAAAGGTGATGAATAATCTGGTCTATGAGCTGGAGGCACAGGAGAGCCCCGAGCCCTGGGAAGGAAGATGAACTCCCTAATAGCCCTGGAAGCTGGGCTTGCAGGGCATTCCCAGGCTTTGGCTTAGAGCAGAGCCATGCTGAGGTTAAGGTTAGAGTTGTACTGAGGGTGGGTGAGGCTCAGCATGGAGCTTAGCATGGGGAACAAAGCACACCCCGGGCAGTCATCCAGATGCTCCCTCTGGGGTTCTGTGGGTGCTGTGGGGAGGCAGCTCTACTTCAGAGAAAGTGGGGGGAGGCTAGGGTCGTGTCTTGTGGTTCCTCTGTTAGGAAACACTTCAAGAAGAGTCATTCTGCATGCTGTGCACCCCTCGTGTGTGTGTGTGTGTGTGTGTGTGTGTGTGTGTGTGTGTGTGTGTGCGCGCGCGCGCGCGCGCGCGTGCGTGCATATTCTCTGGCCCTCACAGGGGACAAAGCCCATTGTTTCCAGAATGAAGATCTGACGGATGAATGTGAAGAGTGGGACACACCAGAATTCCAGAGGGAGGGAGAGGCAAGAGACAAAGCATTTTGGAGGGATGAGCTTGAGCAAATGGAGAGGGAGAACAGAGAAAGATTCCAGGAGAGATTCCAGAGAGCAGAAGAGAGAAAGGAAGCAGGAGAGAGAGAGAGAGAGAGAGAGAGAGAGAGAGAGAGAGAGAGAGAGAGAGGTATTAAGGAGGCTCTTCCACTCAGAGAAAAGGAGATACCCAGGGGAGGAGAGGGGGACAAATACCGGGATGTGGTAGGACAAGGGAGAAAAACAGTGAGGCCATTTAGAGAGAGCACAGGGAGTCTGAGCGGGACAGAGGCAAATTCAAATACCAGGAGAGGTAGAAGCTCACGGGAAGAGATCCAGAGAGAGTTAGTCTTTGGGTCCAGGAGCTGGAGACCAGGCAGGAGGGAATCATGCTGAGTTTGCAAGTGAAAGAATTTGACAGAAAACCGGACAATAGACCAAAACAAAGGGAGCTGAGCTGCACATGGAATCAGGAGGAGGAGGAGGAGGAGGAGGAGGAGGAGGAGGAGGAGGAGGAGGAGGAGAAAGACAGAGAGAGAGAGAGAGAGAGAGAGACAGAGAGAGAGACAGAGAGAGAGAGAGT